GAGAGAGAGAGAGAGGAGGAGGTTCCTGGAGTTTGAGTGTATTGATCTCTTTCTCTGTTTGTCTTTGTGTCTCTGCGGGCTGCCAGGGGATTTGGTTTTCAGTGGGGTACTGTGAATTTCTGGTTCCCAGGACAAGTCTTGCTGCCTCTCTTTCTGCCCTCTGTTTTTTTATCTCCCTCTGCAGTCTTCACTCCACTTTCTGGCCAGCGACTTCACAATTGCCTTCTGCTTTTAAGGTGGCTCTGGACGGGTATACGTGGGGAGGGGGGGTGGCCTGGGTTGCTGGCGAATAGCTCCTTAAATAGCCGATTAAGCATGCAGGATGACCCTGCGGAGGAAGCAGCGGGTTTCACAGGAGCCCTGGCCCCGGCTCAGGAGCCCAGCTGGGGTGAGCTCTTCCTCCCTCTGCTATTCACACAGATACTGTTGAGAAGCAACAGTGTCCCCTGGAGTGGACAGGGGCAGGAAAGGAGGGTTTGGGGGTTCAGCCCTTTGGGGTCCCACCCAGCCCCCTCAGGGGGACACTCATTCCCCATCTGGCTTCTCTGAGGAGCAACTCCCTCCCTGGGTGATGTGGGGCAGATGCGGGGAGGACCTGTTCCCAATTCCCTGCAGGATTTGAGCTGCCCTGGAATAGGAAAAGTCCAGAGTTTGGAGAGAGGTAACCAGGAGGAGCTGGGAGACAGGGAGTGGGTGGGGGGTAGGAAGTCAAGGACTAAAACCTGGCTTGTGGAAGAGAAGTGAGGCGAAGAGAACTTGTTTGGAGCGATCTCTTTCTCCTGCGCCTGTCACCACCCCCTTCCCACGGTGAGGCCTGGGTCCACGTGCCTGTGTGGCCTGGGTGGGGGGTGGTTTTGTTTGCTGTATAAAGCCCATTTGTGTGCCCAGCGGGGGGAGGGGCTACAGCAGCACCATGGAGAGACAGCGGCTCCAACTGCCAGACCCAGCCACCTCCCTCCCCAGGGAGCCCAGATCTAGGGCGGCTTTTGTCACTGAAGAGGACACTGACCCCTGGCAGGGAGACCAGGGCAGGAAAAGTGACGGGGAGATCTTAGAAATAATCACTAACCCCATCAAAAAAAGGCAGACTCCAGAGGACAGGGGAGGGAGCAGAGGGAGACCATGTGATCCAGTTGAGAGGGGCCCAGGGTCTTCCCTCCTGCCCAACAAAGGGCTGAGGCAGGGCTTTTGGGACTGAGTGGAACATGCCACCGGAGAACTTGGGCAAGTGGAGCAGAGAGGCTGCCATGTCTCAGGAATGTGGGCTGGTGTTTATTCTCTCATGGGACTGGAAATCCTGATTGGAATGTACATTCTAAATCCCTCATTACAGAATGTGAAACTCACGGATAACTTCAGGCCAGACATTGGAACCTTTCTCTCCATACCCTTCAGAGTCACAGCCAGGAGGATGCACCCGTTTGAGCTCCCTCTGCCCTCCTTGCTCCTGCCAAGTAACAATAAATAGCCAAAACAAAGGGAGCAAAAGCTAAATTAGGGAGCAGGATAAAAGCCAAGCGAACAGAATAATGCATGTGCTAAATCATCAGCTCCTGCAGAGGCAGGAGTCTGCCATGCCTTTCTGTCTACTGTGATTAATTTGCAAAGCAAAGCCATTTGCAGATGTCATTTCCTTTTTGATTCTCTCATCATGCTCCAAATTAGTTTTTCCTTCCAGGTAAGTTTTATGTTTTGAGGTTCCCCCAAAGCCCCAACCATCCCACCTAAGAAAGATAAAAGGCTTAAAGCATAAATTAGACTTCCTGAGAATCAGGATAGTTAACACAGAGGAACAGGAAAAAGAAAGAAAGCAGAGACATCTTTTGCATGGTAGGAAAGAAGCGATTTGGACAGAATGACCTCCTCCAGGACAGAGTTCCCGCGGAGGATCTGAGGCTGCGATGCAGCTTCCCAAGGCAGGTAGCAGGTCTTGCCAGGCGCCACCTCCTGGTTGTCTATGAATTTTTTAATTTTCCAAGTTTTAGTTCAAAATGTTTTGTATGTGATTCCTTCTGGGAAGTGTTTCCCTGCTGGTGGGCTTTGGGATTTTGTCTACACTACTGAACATTGTTTCACAAAGATGTCTCAGCCCCAAATCAGCACCTTCTCCAGGCCCTCGTGTTTCCCAAGTGGACAAAGGCTTCAGTTTCTAGGAGAGAGGAGGAAACGAGGCAAACTCCAGGGACTTGCCTTTAGTTTCATCTTTGGCTCAGCTGTGGGTAATTCTGTCGTCACCAAGCTGATTTGGAGTAGTGTCAAGAGAATCCTTACATGTTAAACAAACAAACAAACAAACAAAAAAACACCAATCTCTCCCTCCCCTACCCCCACCCCTCACTGTGCTCTACCTTAGTCGCTACTCATACTCTGCCGCCTTTGTTTCAATTCGTACTGCTCCCTCTCCAGCGCATTCCTCACGCTGGGATTGGCTAAAACCCCACTAAAACCAAGGCGTTCTGCTGCCTTCTGGCGCCATCTCCTGTCCTTTCAAATGCAGTGAAATGTGAACAAGTCAGAGAATCAAAGGTGTCCGTGTGTAGTGAGTTTTTTGGTTTGTTTTTTCTTAAACGATCCTTTTAAAAAAGGATATTTAAACTCACCAAATATCATAAATAGTTTAAAACACCTTACAGGAACCCAGTAAGTGCTCTGAGTTTGTGTGGTGGGGTAAGTGAGAATTCAGTGACGGAGGGAGGCAGATCAAAAGGAAAGAAGGATGGTCAACGTAGGGACTTACTCCAGCAGAACAGCTGGTGACTGATTGCCGGGAAAAGAGAATCAATGAGAAGACAATTGGATGGACTCAGTTTCCTGAAAAAGCAAGCAACTTTGTGCCCTGTGTAATGTAGACCCAGAGATAGTCTATTTTGATAATCACATTTATTATCACGTGCTTGTCTTCTAACACACTGGTACTGAAGGCCCGTAAGGAAACATAAAAGCTTGCAAGAATTAAAGTCAAAGTAATTTGGAGGGGAGGGGGGTGGTCAGAACTCTTTGGGTCATTTTCTCAGTTTTCCAGTTCACACTGCATGACAGATGCAGTATGAGAATCTTGTAGACAGAAGACAGGCAAAAGTTTGTGGTCTGAAATGTTTCAACTTGAATTAAAAAGGAGCAACTTTGTGTCACGCATTGATTTCATGCTCACAACACTGCCTAGTATGTAAATATTTGCTGATTGAATGAATGAATCTAGTTATTGGACCATTTTTTTAAACTTTCTTTCTGCCTTTGGTATTTAGCAAAATTTTAGACCGAAAGGGTCCTCAGGCATCTTTCCAACTCCCTTGTCATTCCCTGAAAGACTGAGTTTTGAGGGATTTAGGGATCCTTCCGTGGTTAGTCTTATAGCTGCTAAGCTAAACCAGGACAAGGACACAGATGCCATTGAACTTTCTCCTCTTGGTTCTCAAACGCCATTGTGCATCAGAATCACCTAGAAGGCCTGTTAAAATACAGATTTCTGGGCCTCTGCCCCATGGTTTCTGATTCCACAGGCCTGGGGTATGTCCAGATGTTTGCATTTCTAACAGGTCCCCAAATGATGCTGATGGTGCTGATCCAAGGGACTGCACTTGAGAGTCAATGCTCTACACCAGCTGGAGAAGCAGAGGCAGGAAGGGGTTTGCCATTCTTTGCAGAGCTTCCAGATATCTGGAATTTTTCTTTGCAGTCACTTTCGCAGAGGTAAGCAACAGGCCTTCACTAGTTTACAAATATATATTGAGCACTTCTAGGTGCTAGGCACCATGGCAGGCCCTAGAAATAAAAATTAATGAGACAAACTCCTGCCCTCAAGAACTTCACAGTCTCATAGAGGATGCAGATACCTTACCCAGTTACTAGACTACAATAGTGAGAAGTTCGAAAGAGTGGCAGAACAAAGTGTTAGGGGAACCAAGGAGGCTGGGCAATTAGTGAGATTTTCTTCACCCGGTATCAACAATATTTCCACAAGATGGGTCCATAATCAGGTCCTATAGTTATATGTAAGAACATAAAAGTTGCCACTCCTCAGCAGGGAGACCCATGCTTCACTGTCTCTGAGAGTGACACCAAAGGATAAGTTATGTCTAAGCAGGATTCTCTTTAATATATTTAATAAGTTGCTTCCTTTGCAAGGAGGAAGATAATGGCTATCATGGTGCCCTGGAAGGGTAATAATTTGTTCCATCTGTTCTGGTGGCTGCCTCATTCTGCCTGGCTTCTCCCTTTTCTTTTTATTCCCTACCATTCATCTAACTCAGGTGAAGGTTGTGTACCAACGAAAGCAAAGGACATTAACATTTAATACCACTTCCCTGCAATAGTGAGAAGATTCCAGTTAAAGATAATTTTTTCTTTGTTTTTGAATGGATTGTTATGTCTGAACTGCCATAGGACTAGGAAGCCGAGGACAAGATAGCGAAATCTTGTAATGATGGGTGGCTTATTACTAGGTTAATCATCCCCCAAATAAGTCTGTTCTCAGATCAGATTGTGACAAGTGATTTGGATTTCTTTGAAACCTTAAAGTGAAGGATCCTGCTGTGCTTTCATTGGCATTTTATTTGCTTCAAAATATCTGTGCATTTTTCTTAAAAGGGCATGAGCCTTGAAGGATAAAGTGACTTTGCCGAGGTCATAGAGAAATAGTACTAGGACAAAGATTCAGGCTCTGACAGATCCATCACTTAAGATATTTTAAAACAAGATCAAAAACCTTTGAAAAAAATAGAAGAAATTTTTGGCCCTGGCTGCTGCTGCCTCAGTTAATTCCCTGTAATAGGTGGGGAGGCATACCTCTGAGGAGGAAATCCAAATATAAAACCAAAATAACCTTATTTTTTTTAAAAGCTTCAAGTCATTTCTAAGGCAACACCTGCAAAAGTGAAATGCAGTTATTAATGAGCTCCTAGATCCTGCATTCTCCCCGTTTTTCTACTATCAAATATGCTTATTATTTCATGTTACACATATTTTATTTAAGAAGCCTTATTGCAGGCTGGTTGCAAATCCATGCACACTGGGAAAAATTGACTTTTTTGCTCCTTTTTTAAAAATTAAAAAGGAAATATTGGAGTTGGCTCCAGAATGGTAGAGAACATCAGATCTTAGCAATGGCTTGTCACTTTTCCTCTTAATTATTATTTTTTAATTTTACAAGTAATACCTGATTAGTTTAGGGAAATAAGAGATATAACAAAGCAAAAAAGAAATAAAAATAACATCACTCAAAATTCTTCCAATTAGAGATAATAACTGTTACCATTCTGATATCTTACAAACTTTTTTCTATGAAGCTGTATCTAAATACATATATTTTGTGTGTAAAAATATTGTATTTTTTACAAAAATAGGGCCAAACTATATATATATAATTGACCTATAACTTTTTTCTTGATACTATTTGTGAACATTCTTCTGTGTCAATAAATATATATCCCTGTCAGCAACTTAAACTGCATAGTGTTATAGAGAAGAAACCTAATGTATTTAACCAGTTCTCTACCTTTGGACTGGTAGATATTTACCTGTGACAAACAATATTTCAATTAGAATTTTTGTTCATGTGTATTTACACACTTGTCCAACTGTTTTCTAGAAGTAGAATTGCAAGAGGGTATATACTTAAAAAAAAATCTCTATCATGAAAAACTTCAGACTCATTCCTTTTGTTAAAGTCAGGTTTATGGAGGTGTAATTTGCATACAGTAACTTTTACCCACTTCGGTGTAGAGTACTGAATTTTGACAAATGTGTACAGTCCTGTAACCACCATCATAATCAAGACATAGAACAGTTCATCACCCCACCCCACATAATTCCTGATCTGTTTCTGCTTCTA